TCCCCACAATTAGGACTTGGAAACGAACAATAACATCGCCTAGTCGCCACTTGCCACACTCCAAGCAGGCCAAGTGGCCCCACACCCACATTTTATCGTTCCGTTGTCTTGCTCACCAAGCTACTTGGTGAGACTTCACCATTGACTTTTGTGAAATTGACCATCCTTTTCATTGTTCATTTGCAAGCCAACATCCGAATGGGCTATACACCTATGGCGATACGTCGGTCTATATGACTTATTTATGTAGATACATTGGTACATTTGACAATAGGTTGAATTATCATTGGTACTCCGTATGCTAGTAAGAGTGAGGCTAAGCGTTGAACAAACAGAGGTGAGGTGGTTCGCAATTAAGGGCATGTTTGGCACTAGACTACTATTTATGAGAGTCTATTATTGTTAAAACCCATTGTAGGCCACTTGTGAGTGTCCCATATTGGAGATTGAGGAGAGTTGGTTCCACTTTATAAGGTAGAGGAGTTATGACTTGTTCTTTTCACCTTAAAAAAATAATATTAAGTAAAAATAATTTCATTTTAGTAAAAATAAATTCAGTTCAGTAAAATTAATTTCAGTTCAGTAAAAATAAGTTCAGTTCAGTAAAATTCAGTTTTCTTAAAGAAGAATTATAATAGAAAATCAGTAAAAATAATTTCAGTTCAGTAAAATTAAGTTCAGTTCAGTAAAAATAAGTTCAGTTCAGTAAAAATAAGTTCAGTTCAGCAAAATTAAGGTGAATCAAACAGGGCCTTACTCCTATTATTGCTGATTGGTTTTAGTATGAAAGTTCCTAAGCCTTGTTTGTGCTGTACATAACAAATTCTAACTATTTATTACAAGTAAAAGATTTTAATAAGTTGTGAAGATGGATAATTAAAGTATGAGAATTTGGGGAGTAGTTGTTGACTAACTATTTGTTACATACTACTTTCGTTTCATAATTGTTGTAACATTTTATTTTTACATACGTGAGTATGTTTCATAATAATTGCAAGTCTACCATATTTGGAAAGAATCAAAGAACCTATTGTCATTTTATAATTTCTCTCTCACACTAATTCCACTTTTTTAAATATTTTATTATTTTTCTTTCTTACTAACTCCACTTGCATTTATTTATTTTTTTGATTTTATTTCTCTTTCCTATCAACAATACTTTATTATAAAAAAAAAATTCTCTTTTGGCCTTCACCTTATGATTTTCCTAAAATTACGGCATTCTTTACTGTTGCGATTATTATGAAACAGGGGGAGTATATAAAATATACGAAGTATTTGTTTTATCAAGTACTCGTATTGTTTTGACAAGTCAAAAGCTATTCATAACTACCTAAAAACTATTTAAAAACTAGTGTCGAACACGAACACGTATTTGTCATTACAAGTTACTATCATAATTATCACTAGTCCATTTTTGGATATATGTTGTTACATGTACTCGTACTCCTACTTTTATTTGGTGTTGAAGTCTTAAGTGATTTATCAATGAAGTCTACACAAGACCGCAAACACACACGTTATTATGATGCTATGATTATGACTTCCTCCCTTAATTACCCAGAAGTTCTTAAAAGTTTCCATTCACCGGTTTTAAATTACAAGTAACTTGTTTTAATTCTGAGCACCCGTAATTCTCTGTTCAAAGTCTTGTAACTGGCGAACTTACGTTAATTATATTAAAAGACAACCGGTCTAAAAGTAACCTTCACATTTTTTAGAGTAACTTTAGGAAAAATGTAATTTAATAACCCACCTTTAGTCGGTCTTCCATGAACAATCCCACTTTTTAAAATTCCAGAAACAATTCCACCTTTGACCCTCATCTTCCACTAACGATTCCATTGACCTACAACCTGTTAAACAAGTTAAATTTTTTTTTCCCCTTTTTTTAACTACTTTTCTTCTCAAGCCACCAGTTCAACCACCATGGCCACCCCAACACTCACTCCTTACCGCCACCCCACCCACCAAGCCACCACGAAACCTCTAACCACGACGGAAAATCCTAATACAAATTTAAATGAATGTACTCCGTACTACGTAATTATGTATATATTGAAAATAAAAAACATTTTACATTTTTTTTAACAAAGAAAACTACATAAATAAAGAGCAAATTACAACCTAAGCTAAAAGAAAGAAAATAAATACAACACACAACGTAAAATCCTATTACAAACTTTGATTATACAACGTCTACACGTAAAATCCTGAAAGACGAACCCCGTTTAAAATCCTAAGAGTTTAAACAAGGTTCGTCTCAAAATTTTACTTGTTATTTATTCAATAGGATTGTACAATCGTGAATTTAAGGTGCTAGTTGTCCTTTTATTTTCGATTAGTTTAAAGATTATTTCAATAGGATTGTACAATCATGAATTTAAGTACTTCTTTCTTGATCAAAACGTATCTAAATTAAAGGTGTTGAATGTTTTTTTTTTTCTTTTCCTTTTTGGCAGGAGAAATTCTTGGATTATTAGATCAAAGACTAGTTGATGACCATGATGCATGTAGATTAATCACAAGATTAACAACAGTCAAATATCAACACAAACACATTCCCCTAACAAATTAAACTCTGTGTGCATAGAGCCGATAGAGGGGGTATAAATGTATAATATTATTGTACTGATCAGTTTTAAGGGATCACCTTTGCGTATTAAAATGATCTAATGTAAAATAATAAGTTCCAATAACATGCATGTAAATTGGGCATCCTTCTTCTTTAGTGCTTCATGAAATCATCAAAGATGTATGATTTATATTTAACATTAATCTTAAAGCTTAAGAGTTAAACCAACAAACCAAGTTTGTATGGTAGAGATGGTGGATGACTCACTTTATGACTTTGAGGTTAATTACTGTATTTAAGTTCTACCATCTACATATGCTTGAAAGTATAGGATTTTATAACACCCTTCCCCTCCACTCTCAAATGATGATCTAGTTGAGCTAGCTGACGTGTGAGGGGAATAGTGCTGGTTCCATAGGGTGCATAGTAGCTTAAAGCTTTTGATAGTGATAGGTGACATTCTTTGTGCCATCAACGCTATATATTAAACAACAATGGTAGATCCCTTGACCTAATTATAACATTGTTGTTGATATTAGTTCCTAGTTCGAAGTATGAGCATTAACATATTGTATTAAGTATAGTTTGCATGCCTTTATAGTAATTATGTTTGGTGAATGATTAAACAGCTACACTAACATGAAATAAATGTGAACTTTTTATACTATAAAATTCTGATAGGCTAAGTAATTAAGTGTGAATTAGATGCATAACTAGCCCATGTAAATATGTGCTTTGTAATAGATTAGATTAGTGGGTACTAAAGAACATAACCCTTGTCCTCTCATAGGCCCAATTGGCCACTGTTAATGATGGGCCCAAATGGCAGACTGCTAAGCAATACAGATGTTAGCCCATTTAGTGATATTGTGGTTTCTAATGACCATGTAAATACTGCAGTACGAGCAATGTGAAAAAAGAAAAAAAAAGAAAGGCAAAATACATTGCTCGTACTGCAGTATTTACCTGGTCATATTTAGAAACCACAATGTATTTTGCCTTTCTAAGGTAATTAATTATCAATGTCGGATTTTCATGTACTAGTATTAAATAAAGAAATCATGGATGATCAACTAGTTTCGTTGGTTAAAGTATTGATAAGCGCTACATCATTTGCCTTTAACTACGATATTATTAGGGTCTGTTCTATTCAGATTATTTTCAGTTCAATTCAGCTCCAATAAATTCAATTCAGTTCATTCAGCTCAGTTCAGTCAATCAAAACAGGTCCTAAGGTAAACTGGTTGAAAGGGAATGATATCCAACATGTGCAGTAATAATGTATAATGTATTTTTCATTTAGGTCCCCTATTCTTGTAAAAATTTTAAGAAAAAAAAAGGAGTTCCCTATTAGAAGGGTAAGTGCAAAATATCCCATGATTTGTGTAAAATAGCTGATAAGTTATATCATAAATAATCAATTTGCAGAATTAAACATGCCATTAAAATTATATTGAGTGTATGATCTACGATTTCCATAAATTTAATCGGTGAATGATCTACACGGTCCAATAAATATAATCGGTGTATGATCTACAATATCTAAAAAGTCCAATAAATAATGCACATTGCATTTATTAATTCTAATGTATTGATTAATCCAACTTGATACTATACTTAATGAATGACCAGTCCTTACTATAGAGTACAACTACTACTCTTTTGGGTCAAGCACATTGCACATTGCTATGGAGTTTGAAGTGGGTTGCTTCCCAACATCTGAATATTGAGTTAATATTGTCATAATTAAAAGACATAAAATAATGAGTACGCGTAGACATAACCGTTCATTTATCACAGCCAAAACTCCTAAAGTACCATAAATATCCATTAAGGATTTAAGATTAGATGTTACATGTTAGGAATAAAAGTAGATGACAGCTGATACACACAACTCAAAATCAAATCTCATATATATCACTACCCTAGTACCCTTGTGGCTCTCTTTACAAAAAAAAAAAAAAAAAAAAAAAAAAAAAAAAAAACATTTAGAAACAAAAAAGAAACTAGAAAGAAATTTCGAGAACATATATTAGGGAACGAAAAGGATTTACCTGTATAAAAAATTTGGAATTGATGGACTTAGGGAACAAAAGGGTTAACACTAGGTAACGAAATTTCAAGATGGATTCACACTATGTGACAAAAGGGATACCCTTGAACAAAATTTTAAGAACAACTGGTATTATGGAGCAAAAGGAGTAACTCCAAAGAAAAAATGTCCCTTGTAATGTCATTTGCTGTGATTGTTTGAGCAGTGTAACAATTCTATTAAAGTGCCAGAATTTTCAGGTTTATATACTTCGTAAAAAAAAAAAAAAAAAAAAAAAAATCTACTTTGCTGCAATAAAAATAAAAATAAACAGATAGGCTAGAAATAGTAGAGAACTATTTAATGGAGATGTGAAATTTAAGCAGAAACAAGTTTGCTTTAGAAGTGGGTCGGTCAGGTCAATTTTCATCACTTGCAACACAAGCTTAGCATCAACTATTACAATTTCAATTTGAGTAGGTTTTTTTTTTCTTTAATTATTGCAACCTACTTTAGCTAGTAACATGGAAAAAATTGTACGAAATTTTCGGTCTATAATTTAAATAAACTTAACAGCCCCAACCACTTCATTGAAATATGACAACGACAATTTAGAAGTAAAAAATAAACCAAAGTTTTTATAAACATTACAACCCAATTAGCAAAATATCTTTAGCTTTCTGATCAACAAGTTAAGCCTAAGAGAAATATGCGACCAAACCCGAACAGTAGCAAGGTCATGTTATACGCGAACCCTTACCCACAACGAAGAATGAGACACGCGGAATCAATAATGTGAATAAGAAGATGATGAAAAAACAATGTTAGATCTCAGGCATGATTAAACCAAGGCGATGCTGCTTTCACCGCCTGGAGGCTTTCGGACCCCTGTGTAGTAGTCTCGGGATTCTGCCTTCCCGTCTGAAAAGATGTTGTTTCCACTTATCTCTCTCAGCTTGGCATGACTCAAGGGTTTTTCTGTTGAGCTAGGAGGTGCATCTTCTGTGAATATGTTGTTTCCTGACAAGTGAGCAAATTTCTGGTCGGAAATCTTCTTTGCTGTTTTCACTACAGGTTCACTGTCAGTTTCCTGGAATGCAGGAGATCTTACAGTCGATCGTGGCTTAATTTCAGGTGGTGGGGCAAAGATGTCATGTCCGCTTAGCTCCTTGCACTTGGCATCGGAGAGTTGTTTCTTCAACTTTGCTTCTGCCGCGCTATCCAGATTTCCACTCAGTTCTCGCTGTTTTGCCACTTCTGGTAAGGAGGCAGGTTTCTTTGGAGAAAGGCTCTCATCATCAGCACCAAATGAGATTTGACTCATTCCAGTAAGAGCTTGCTGGTACACCAAATCACCATAAAATATTGCAAGATTATCAGTACGTCGTTATATATAAACCAAACATGGAAGAATCTATTAATTATCAATTACCATAAAAGATAAACAAACTTTCAACAAGGCAAAGCAAAACAAGAAGCTTCTCTAAGACATTTGACCAAACATATCATGACAAAGTGGCACTTTCCTAGGAAGTACAAACACCTAAGTTTGTTTGTAATCTGGGAGCAGACTAGTAGCTCCATTTATCATTTTCCAACAGTCAATAATTTCCAGTAATGTCATGACAAGGGAGTACTTGACTGGGGAATGGACCTCGTTTTTTGTTGATAACTTGTTGATCATGATAGCGTTCACTCGTATTACCAATCAATACACAACTACAAGGGGATGATTCATAGTATACCTGGTACATACGTACGCCAGTTTTGTTACCCGGGGTTTGGTTGGCACCTTCAGCTTCTTGGTCATCGATTTCCTCTTCACCAGCAAATATGCCACTACCAATCATCTCTTTAGACTTGTAAGCAGAGCACGGTTTCCTGAGATTAGGCACATTACATACGCTTGTTATATACACATCCCTTTCGAAGTTGCAACAACAGTCCAACCAATCCACAAAAACATACAAGTATACAACCCCGTCTTGGAGAAGATGATCAATATTCAATCAATTATACTTCGCTCCAATTAGAAACAAACCACTCATACCAACATTGAACATCAATTAAAACAAACAAAAAAATTGACATATACATAGTATCATTAAACAGAAGAAATTGATCATGACATCAATCTTTCGCCATCAATCCAACAGAACACCGTAAACCATCAATCCAATCAATCAAAAAGCCAAAAAATCGGAGTTCACTTAGATTGCAAACAACCATTATATCCTTACAAACACAAATTACACTTACCTATATAACACTATAACCAAATTATAAGCAAATTTATACCTTAATCCCTAAGCAATAACAATAGCATAGAACAATTCACACAAATTAATAATGACAACCCTTATTCAACACAATGAACAGACAATTGATCATACAACCAAATTTCCTTTTTTGCATCATTTCACATTATAAACAGTTTTTCTAGTCCATTCTACATGTGAAGAATGAAGATCCAATGAATTCAACTTAAGTTCACAAACAAAGAATCACCAAATTAATTTTTTAAAAAGGGTACAAACAAGAAAAACGTGAGAAAAAAATTATGTTTGGTAAAAATTGAACTACAAAAAAATAAAAATCAGATCTTACCTTTTTACCAAGGATTCAAACTCTTCATCTGTCACTTGACCTCCAAACACCACCTTACTGATCCCATCCGATGGCTGCTCATTTCCCAGCAAAAATTAAAATCAATTAAAAAAAACACTCTTTTTTATTAATAATACCCAATATAGTATTTTATTAATAATTCAAAAAAAATCCCAGAAAAATCCAAATTAAAATTAAAAAAATACCCAGATATTTTCTCAGTAAAAGGAATAAAACCCATAAATTAAAATTAAATAAAAACCCAGAAAATTTCTGTTACAATGAAAATCCCAAATAAAAATGAACCCATTTTTTGAATTTAAATAAAAAAAAAATAGAAATTACCTGGACGTTGCGAATAGGGCGATTAGAGGAGGAGAGAGAAGGCGAATCGGCGGGAGGATTTTCCGACCAAGTTAGCAGATCTGCTGTTGAAGTGTGAGGTTTTCTCACCGGAGTTCCTCGGTGCTCCATTTCCTTCTTTAACTCTTCAATTTCCCAAAATGTACAATTCCAAAATTATCAAAGTAAAACTCACTATCTTAAATTATAATTAATATGTATACTTATTTGTTTTACTCTACAAAAATAATTCCAAGAAATCCGAATAAAATTGTTAATGTTATTATGATAATATAGCACGCAAAGAATAATTAAATTTGAAAATTTAAAATAAAAATTAGAGGGGTTGTTTTTTTCTGACACTGAGTTTGTTTAGCTTGTGGTACTACTTGAAGTGGTATGAAATTTAGAGAGAGAACGAAATGAGAAATTAATTTTCTTCTTCAAATTCTCTCTCTTCTCGAAGGAAAAAAAAAGGAAGGTTGAGCGGTGAAATGACGAAATTGCCCTTTTGTGCCGTTTAAGTTTTACTATTCCAGCTTAGCTTATACGGATGCTTTAAGCTACACTCTTTTCTGACCCCACCGTATTAAACCGTAATTTAAATTTTAAAATAATTATAAATAAAAATGTATAATTCCACGTTTCACTCTTTTATTTGTCAATGTATTTATTTAAGAGGATAATAATACGAAGAATAATAAATTGGGAGTAATTAGGCATTTTAGATTTGAATGTAAATTTGTTATTGGTGAGTGGATATGGCAAGGCAAATTGGAAAGTATTTTTGAATTTCAGTTGGTGGCAGCCTGAGCTACAGTGATGCTGCGTATATAACGGTTATTTATGATCTTATCTTGACGATTTTTTTAATTTTACTTTGGGATTGAATTTTTATTTTAAATGTTTTGAAATTGGAGGAGGATTGACAAATACAATTAAACGAGTAATATCTTGATTAGTTGAATGTAATCTAAAATTTGAATTTTATTTTGGAGTTACATTTTGACTTATTAACAACATTAATTAAGATTGACATGGTATTAAAATCAGACTGAATTAAATTATTTTATTAAAAAAAATATTTATTACCTCCGTTTCATATTATTTGCAACAATTTGACATGAAGGAGAGAGAAAAAATGTCTAATCGTTGCAAATAATATGAAATGGAGGTAGTATTTGTGAAGGAAAAAAAAAGTTTTATAGAAAATTAGGATTTTTAAGCCTCTCATCTCCCCTTTTCTTCTAGGGTAAAAATTAGGAGTTTTAAACTAAAAAAAGTTAAAATAAAAAAAAATAGATTAAATAAGTTTTAGGCCAAATTAGAAAATAACACCTGCAAAAAGACCCGATTTTGATTATAACACCTTAACATTTCGAAATTTTATTATAACACCTACAAAAATCCCAAAATTTTGGTTTCACCACCCACTAACGGATTTTTGGATGGAAACCGTTAGTGGGACCCACTAGGGACACATGTCAGTTGTTTATTGGCTTAAAAATAAAAATTAATAAAAATTAAAATTAAAAAAAAAAAAGAAAACTCCTAAACTCTAACCCAGCCACTAGCCCCACCACCGCCGACCGTCACTACACCGCCGGAGACCCCCCACTGTCGTTGGATTCCATTCCTTCTCCGGCGAAACCACCGGCCGTCACCCCCACCAACATCAGCCCCCCCGTAAATCCCCTTCCCCCTTCCTTCTCCTCGAAAAATCACCCCAACCCACCACAACCCTCCACGAAAACCACCTAGCCCCTTCGCCTCTTTCAGACCCACAACCAAACCACCGTCAACAACCGCTACAAGCACCAATCGAAATTTCGCAGGTGGTTCTCCGTCAATTTCAGGCGTCAAACCGGAAGTTGTCTTAGCCAAATTCCGGTGGTGTTGCTTCGCAAAAACCGGCTGAAATCGCTGCGAAATTCAGCAGATTCGCAGGTGGTTCTCCGTCAATTCGCAGGTGGTTGTTCGGAAGATTTCGTGGCTCAAGAAACGGGCTGAAATCCCGCAGAATCCGGTGAGTTTCGTCGGTGAAGTTCCGGCGATTTCACTGCTCAGGAAACCGTCAATTGCAAGCGTTAATCCGGAAGGTTTTTCGCTGCTCAACTTCAGGGCTGGGCTGGGCCTGGTATCGCCGGATTATGCGAGGGCAGGTGATGCCGACGGCTGGGTAGGTGGTGCCGATGGTGGGGCTGGCTGGGTTAGGGGGTTAGGGTTTTTTTTTTATTATTTTTTCTTTTTTTTAAACCAATACACAGCTGACACGTGTACATGGCGGGCCCCACTAACGGTTTTCATCCAAAAGTCCGTTAGTGGGTGGTGAAACTAAAATTTTGGGATTTTTGTAGGTGTTATAATAAAATTTCGAAATGTTTAGGTGTTATAATCAAAATCGGTTCTTTTTGCAGGTGTTATTTTCTAATTTGGCCTAAGTTTTACATAGTAACAAAATCTAGATTTTATTCATTTCACCTTATTTTTTTGTTGAACTACTGAAATAAATATTACTAAACTGAAATTATTTTTCACTAATTCTCAATGATATTTCTTAGTTAAAATTTATTGATTTTGGCTAAACTAATTAAACAAAACTTATTTACTCTAAATTTAACTTATTTATACTAAAGTGAACTTATTTGTATTGATGGATAATATTTTCTTAAGATGAAGTTAGGAGGAGCTTTAAAATTAGGTAATATAACATATTCTTAATTTAATATTTACTGAGGATAGGAAATTAAATTATAATTAACTTATTGTCATATTGCATATGCATTAATATTGATTTCTTTATGAGTGAAATTGGCATGTTTAAAAAATTGTCTTTGAATTGTGATAATAACAAATATTACATATGTTGCCTGTTGGTGTAATCCAAGATTTGAATTAATTTTGATGTTACTTTTTGGCTTATAATGAGCAATTATTAAATTGGTATGCTTTTTCTTTTTTCTTTTTTTTTCAATAATTGGCATTTACATACGGAGTAATTATCACTGTATGACATATTGGCATATCGCACAAGCATTAAAATTGATTTAATTTTTTTTAAATAAGTTGGCATTTATTATAGTGTTTAATAAACATTCTTCAATGCAAAAAAATTAAATTTAATTATTCCGAGATCGTTTGACATTGATGTGGTTTCTTTTTTGGTTTTTTATTTGTCAAGATTGTTTCGGGGTTTTTTGATGTGTCCTGCGGGAGAGTTACAATTCCAAGAATGCCCTTCGACGCCTGTGCCTGCAAAATCACGAAGACTCCTGGGGGTAGGAGCTCCGCCTCCGACGATCAAGTTAGTAAAGATACGGGAGGTAGAATGCACGTAATGTGGAAGTTACTTCTCGCGTAATGGGGGAATTCTGCAATTAATATTGCTCGGGGTAAGTGTTTTTCTTTTTGAGGAGTATTCAATGTGAACAACAAATGTTCCAGCCCCCATTAATGAGGGTCCTTCCACTATTTATAGTGGGGAAGGGATGGTTTCCCTTTTAGGGTTTAGAGGACACGTGTCAGCAGAGGATTGGAGCACTGCTGACCAACGGCTGGATGCCACGTGTCACTAGGCCATTGGGCCACGTGTTTAGGGTATTTTTACCCCAAACAAAGATTATAAAATATATGTCATATAAGGAATCAACAATTATTCAAACTTATTAAATCTATTAACTATCACTAAAACAGAAGTTGTTAACATCACCACTGCCCACATGTCGCTTTCTCAATAAAAAAATTCTCGCGTAAATGAAATGATGATGTCATTTTTTTTGGAAAACAATCATAATTAACATTTTTGAAATTTAAATATTGGAAGCTTCTACATCACAACTAAAATCTATAAATTTATCGTAGGAAATTGAAATAATTTTAAATAGCACACTAATAAATGACATCCTACATTGAACTATGAGTTGGACAACATTGAACAAATATTGTATCATAATTACGATTAAAATAAAAAAATTATAATTATAAATATACGTAATTCTTATTTATATTCATGTATAATAGCGATTTATTTTTATAATAACAAATTAAAAATAATTTAAAAAAAAAAAGGTTTTATACAAACCGTGCATTAACCTAGTTTTTAATAATTTTTAAAAATGACAACAAAAAAGTGGATTTTTTTTTTCTTGTTTCTTGTTTTTGGTTTTTTATTTTATTTTTTTTAATATATTGAAAATTGAAAACAAAAAACAATGTCAAATAGATTGTTTAACTTTTTAGTCATATGGAGTATATACATAAATAAAAAAATAAACAATTCCTGAAACTATTGATTTTTGGCACTATTTAAGAATAATTTCACATTATTTATAATCTGTAATCAAACATATAGAAAGATTTGACTAGTTGGCCGCGTTAATGGTTTTGACTAACTTGTTTGTAATTTTTTTTTATGGGTGATACGAATCGATCCCAAGATCCTCTAAGATCGAGAGGAAAGTTCTTATCACCAAAATTATCTCTCACTCTTAGCTTACTATAAATAATTGATTATATAAAAAAAAATTGTTAAGTAACAAAAAATTGTTAGTTGTTCCAATGTATATAATACCTAAAACACTAAATATTCAATAGTAATTAAAAAACCTAAATTTCAATAAGCTATTTACCAAGTACATGAATTAACTTTTTCATATGGCTGAACATCAAATAGGTATTAGTACGCTAAAAACTATTCAAAAAAACTCATTACCAAATAAGTCGTAAGTATCATTTGAATAAAATAAAGAGAATAAAGGTCTATTCTCTTCAGCTTAATTTTAGTTCAATTCAGTTCAGTTCCTAATTTTCTTCCCTCATAAAATATTCACTTCAGTTTAGGCCCTGTTTGATTCACCTTAATTTTGATGAACTAAAACTATTTTTACTGAAGTGAACTTATTTTTACTGAGCTGAACTTAATTTTAATGAACTGAAATTATTTTTACTGAACTTAAATTATTTTTACTAAACTGAAATTATTTTTACTGATTTTCTATTATAATTCTTCTTTGAGAAAACTGAATTTTACTGAACTGAACTTATTTTTACTGAACTGAAATTATTTTTACTTAATATTATTTTTTAAGGTGAAGAGAACAGGGCCTTAGTTTAGCTCCAATCAGTTAAGTTCAGTTCAATTCCTAATTTCTATCTCTCATAAAATATTCAGTTCAGTTCAACTTCAATCAGTTCAGTTCGATTCCTAATTTCTTATTTTCTTTCTCTCATAAAATATTCAGTTTAACTCCAATCAGTTCAGCTCAGTTTGTTCAGTAAATCAGAACATGCCCTAAGTACAAACATTACTAGGTTTCCCAATGAAAATTTTCCAAGAAATAACTAACGCCATATACTTTTAGGTTCGTTTCAATCACTCCTTAATTCGACTCAGGATTATATAATTACTTGTATTTTTTTTTTTTTAAAAAAAGTAGAAAACAAAGACAATCCTAAAAATAGTCAAGAA